CTCCAGTGAACCTCTGCTCTTTGCTATTGAAAACTGCCTATTTTAGCATTCACTGCAAGGTAAGATTGGAGACAAATTTTTCACAGAAAATACCTTTATTCATCTTTAGTCATTGCACAGGAGACATTTGGGGAGAAGGGCATGGGGAACGGCACAGCAAATGGCTGTCACCAAAACTGGCAGGAAACACAGTAAATTTATTCTCCCAAATGTCTGTCTTCACATCCACATGAGAAGAAAAATATCTATCCATCATAAAAAGTAAAGAAACAACAATACCAATAAAAAGAGCCCTGAGTTTCATACTTGCTTTGAGAAGTGTGAAGTCTGTACTTCTACCAGTGGGCAGAAGTTTCTCATGTCCAGCAGACACTGTGCAAAGGGAGTGGGTGAAAGCAGGCAGTGGGATGCTTAGACTCTGCAGCTCTTGGTCTTATGTCAGCCTGCCATATAAGTGCTTTTTTCTACTTTTGATAAAACTCCAAAATTCCATTCCATGCTGAAGGCTTCCAGCAACTGTGGTTAATTAACTCCAATTGCTTACTATTTTTGGAGGCTGTTGCTTTTTGCTTTGGAAACAAAGTCAAGTATGTCAGGGCTCAAGATATTTTCAAATCCATATTCTATATGAGACTTTTATGCTTGTTTAATATTAAATTGCACAGGATGTAAACTGCAGCAGTGTATTGGATGAAGTGGTATTGTATCTGGGAGCAATTTCAGCCAGTTCCTCCAAACAATCATGATTTTTATTATTATTACTTACAATAACAGAAAGTAAGCCTCTGTCCCATCAGGGAAACAAGTTACAGGTTTACCCTTACCACAATCCACATGAGAAAGGACATCCCTGTGTGGGAATCTGTTTAAAAGTTACTAAGAAGTAGACAGTATCATCCTGATAAACCCATTGAAGGTGCAATGAAGAACAGGAGCTGTGCCTTACAAAGATTTAGATATAAATCACTCTGTGTTAAAGATTATTTTGGGGATCAGTTCCTGACTTTTAAGGTTAAAAAAGAAAGTGTAGAAACATATAACAAAAACATATGGCAAAGTTTTTTTACATTTTAATGAGTTTCTTTGTTTTTTTAAAATAAATTATGAGCAAATATTTACAGACAGCAGTCAAGTAGTCTAGCTCTAACAAAAGATCCCTCCTATTGCACACTCCTGCAGTGCAGTGTCAGTGGAAGTAAACATCTACATGGTATGTGCAGAAGGAAAGATCTGACATTTCCTGCATCAGGACAAGGTACAGGCATAAGTTACCTGTGATTCTTCTCATACTGTTGTTAGTAACTGTTAGTTAGATTTCACTACCATAAAAAGCACACAGGAGTCACCTATATATCTTCCAGAGCTGCCGAATGTGAAATCTTTCATCAACAGGCTAGCCATCTCCATGAGGAAAGCTCTGAAGCAAGAATGATGGAAAGGGAGATCACCACCCACCACTAAGTAGCAGTGGATAAGGGGTTCAAAGTAAAGGGTACAGGGTGACAGGAACAATGTAGACCTCAGAGCAAAAAGAAAAAAACACAACAAAACAAACAACAAAATTGGCAGAGGGAAGCATGAAGGTACCTGCACAAATGCATGGAGCTTGGAAAGCAAGCAGGAAGAACTACATTTCTCCATGAGTTCACAGAACCACAACATTGTTGGAGCACCTGAGACATGGCAAGCCAGTCTGCATGACTGAAGCTCTTGCAGTGCTTGCATAGAAGCTGCACAAGAAAGCCATGGAGGAAGGAGAGAGAAGCTGGCCTCTTTGTGAAAAGAGTGGCTTGAATGTACAGAGCTCTGATACAGAGCAGGTGACAGGCTGGCTCCAGGAAAGGTCAGTAGGCATGACAACATGCTTGGAGCACAAGACAAGCCACCAAGGAAGGGCAAGGAAAGAGGAAAAGGCTTCTGTAAACAGCTTGAGGCCATCCTGATGTTCAGGAAAACAGGCAGTCAAAGCAGAAGATCAGCTTGGCTATGCAGGGAGCCCCAGACAGGGCTCCAGTGCAAAAGGGACTTACACTAGATGTGGAGGCAGGTTAGGCTACAATGGGGGAATGTAGGAACACTGCCCGAGTAGATAAGGAAGGTGTCAGGAAAGCCAAGGCTCAGCTATATTTCAGACTTGCAAAGGACAACAAGGGCAACAAGAGCTGCATCTGCTGCCACATTAACTGTAAAGGAATGAAGGAGGAAAATACAGACCGATTCCTGAACTGAGGAGCATGATTTAAGGCTATCAGACAAAACAAGCTTGGGTACTTGATGTGTTCCTTGCATCAGTCTTCATTAACAAAGTCACTCAGACTCAGTGCTTTGTCAAAGGGCTCAAGAAAAACTACCACCAGTCAGGGATTACTTGAGAAAACTTGATCCACACCAGTCCATGGCACTTGATCAGATGTATTTAAGGGTGCTGTGAGAAGATGGCTGATGTCACTCTGAGTGCTGTTACCTTTAAAAGATCATGGAGTTTGAGGAAGACCTTGATTAGACTAGAAAAACTACACAACTAGGAAAGTTGCACCTATTTTTAAAGAGCACCAAAATGTCAAACTAGGGATCTGCAGGCTGGTCAGCCTAACTTTCACCCCTGAGAGAATCACAGAGCTGGTCCTTTCAGGACATATTTCTGGGCTTGTGAAGGATAAATTGGCTGGAAACCGTCAGAATACATTTAAGCAAGGGTAAATCATGCCAAACCAGCCAAACTTCCTTCTATAAAGATTAAATAATTAGATTTGTGGATTAGGGGAATGCAGTATTTTTTTACCTCGACTTTAGCAAGGCCTTTGACATCATCTCCCACAGTATTTCTGTATCCAAATTAGAACATTACGACTTGAATGGGTGAACTAAATGGAGTGTTGGATGGATAAGGAATGGGCTGGATGGTCACATCCCAAGAATTACAGTCAATGGTTTAACGTTCAAGTGGAAACTAGCAATGAGTGGCAAGTAGGTCAAGGGAGCTGATTATCTCCCTCAATTCTGCTCTTGTGAGACTCCATCAGAGGGCCATGAAGATGATCAGAGGGATGGAACACCTCTCCTATGGAGAATGCCTGAGAGAATTGGGGCTTTCAACTTGAGAAAAGAAGGCTTCAGGAAGACCTTATTGATACCTTTCAAAACTTGAAGGGGGCTTATAAGAAAGGAAGACTTTTCACCAAGGTCTGTGGTGACAGGAGAAGGGGCAATGGAATTAAAGAGGGTAGATTTAGGTTGGACATAAAGATGACATTTTCTATGAGGGTGGTGAGACACTGGAACAGATTGCCCAGAGAAGTGCATGCCCCGTCATTGGGAGTGTCTTTGAGCAACCTGATCTAGTGAAAAATGTCCCTGCCCACCTTTAAAGGCCTCTTCCAACCCAAACCATTCTATGATTCTATGGATATGTTAAGAACTGGTTGGACTACTTGGCTCAGATGGTAGAGATTAACAGGTCATACTCTACCTGGATAGGTGAGACAACTCGAGTACTACAAATGCCAATATAGGAACTACTCCTGTTTAACACATTTATCAGTGGTCTGGAGAAGGGGAAGAAGTGCAGCCTTGTCAAGTTCACAGATTACATCAAACTGGGGAGAATTGGTCAACATACTAAAGGGCTGGGCTGTCACAGAGATCTAGACAGGTTACAATTACAAAAGGACAAATGTAAAGCTCTGGGAAAGAGGAACCACTTGCACTGATACAAGCTAAGGTCTAGCTGAAAAGAAGCAAGAGGATTTCAGTGAGCAGCAAGCTGAACATGAGTCAGCAGTATCCTCTGGCACCAAAGGCAGCCAACAACCTCCTGGGCTGTATTAACAAGAGCTCACCCGGTAGATTGAGGGTAGTGATTATCTCTTTCTAATCACACATCAGACTGCATTCAGAATAGCACATCCAGTGTCAGACCCCTTCAAGAAGGGGCATCCATAGAATTGGAGCAAGGTCAGTGCAGGGCTACCAAGATGGTCAGAACACTTGTACTATGAGAAGAAGCTGAAGGCACTGTGCTTGTTCAAGCCTGGAGAAGAGGAGGCTTTGGGAGGGTACCTAACAGCAGCCTTCCCATGCCTATGAGCTGAGATGGAGACATGTTCTTCACAGTAGTGCCTTGTGGGGAGGCAAGAGATACTGGGCATAAGCTTTCAAGTTTTCTTTCCAGTCACAAGCAACCTAAAAACACATTACTATTCCCTAGAAATAAGTAAGTTGCCTTCATCTTAGAATAATGGGAGGCAGAAGCCAAGACATAAAAATACCCTCTAAAAGTGCAAAAAACCATCAAAAGTTCTAGGAAAAAACAAACAAACACACACCAAACAAACCACTGCTAATAGCAGCAGCTTTGATCCAACATAACAACAAACTGGATTACAGCTTTATCACAAAGTCAACCACCATCAGGAGATTATCAGTCTGCCAGTCTTTTGCCAAGTCCAGGAGATAGCTACCTTAGAGAACATTTATCTGAAGCACCAAGTTCCTGCTGGAGAATTCAGACTAGAAAATACAAACTTCTGTCCACATGGAACTGTTGAAGGATGAAGTGTTTTTCTTCTGACTGTAAAAAGGTGCTGATCCAAAACTGCATAGCAAGCTGAGTAGTTTTTGGCTTATCCATATTCATGCAAATGAATGCCTTTGTTACTCTCTAAATTCCAATTATAAAAAAAGGCCTGAGCTGTTACATTCTGTGTTAGTAGAACACTGTTCATTACAACTGGATACAAAAGAACACAAAATATTTTGTCCATTATTTGGCCTATTTATCTTCATGCAGTGAAGATAAGACAAGAAGACTAGACAAGAAGGTTGTCCTTCTGAGAAAAAAAATAGGCACTGGAAAGAGCTCAGCTAGTCTTCAAATCACTCCTTCATAGATTACTTCAGTGCTGGTGGAAAACCTCCAAGAGAAAAGACAGCAGCTCCTTAACTGTTGAATTCTACCACTTCACTTCCATCGTTGTTTGATCCACAAAGTAATTATTTGCTTACGATTTAAGATCTGAAGCAAGAGAAAAAAGAAAAGCACATAGGTAAATTATTTTATTTTCACTTCTATAAACTGAACTAGTTATACAAGAATACTGCAGGCTTTAAATACTAATAAAGTGTGGAAGTTAATTAAGACATTGGCACATGATCAAACCCAACCCAATTACGGCAGCTATACAGCCGGTGGGATCCAATAGCCATTAGCCACTTTATACCCAAAATCACCTGCTCATGGTTAGACAGGTTCCTTGCAACTGGGGAAGAACATTTATCACTTACTGCCAGTCACCTGTTAAGCAGCTGGTAACCTGTAAGGCTGCTCTGGATCACATAACAAGGCACTTGTGACATCATTTTTATGCAAAGCTTCATGTCTATTATCTTAGTATCAGCTGTGCACCACATATGCATGTGATGCTGCTGCTAATTCTTCCACAAGGTAAAACCAGGTGTGTTTGGAGTTATCTCTTTTGAGGACTGCAAATAGAGCTCTTATTTACCAAGCAATGAAACTGATGGGAAAGGCAAGTTACAGTGCAGGAAGTTAGAATCCTGCAAGTTCAAGACCATAGGCCCAACCCAACTCATTGCATGCAACATGCATCAGCTACTAACCAAGCTGATCTCCAATAAAGTATCAGCTACTAAACAGGCTGATCTCCAATAAAGCCTACACAAGGCCCACTCACATAGGAGTTTCCATCTTGGTGCACACAGAGTAACATTATATGGGGAACCAAATGGATGTTCAAAGGCACTGTCATTCAGTCTTTGCTCCTATTTTGATAGCACTACCCATCCCTTCCACTAGTCTCTAGCTCAGTATCACTCCAACCTGGGATAAGGTGCCAGGAGACAACCTAGGAGAGCAGCATGTGGTGGTGACTTACAACACTCATCTCTGCAGACAATGAGAAAAAGAAAGATATCCCTAGTCTGAGCGGCCCCCACCCTTGCCTTTCTATTATTTCTCACTGTTTTGCACTTGAGCAAGAAGGGGCCAGAGTCATACACAGCCTAGCCCAGCACTGCCACTCCCAGCCTTGGTGCCAGTCTGCACACTCTCCCAAGACACGTGGAGCTTGCCCTGCACATACCTTCTTCACTGCAGCTGCGAGAGTTTCTCAGATGCTCCCCATTTCCACCTTCCACATCCACCGTCACTTCTGCAAGGACAAAAGGCAACAGTCAGACAACGCTCCAGATCACAACACTCACCCTCTCCAGCCCAGGTGTATCAAGATTAATCTGACTGACAGCTGGGCCACGTGTTTGGCATCAATAATAGCCCTGACCAACATCTCCTGCTCCCATCATACAAGACCTCCCCACTCTCCTCCATCCCCAACTCTGCACTGTCCTCACGATCCCTTCCAGACCCTGCAAAGGCCAAGCACAGAAGGCACACAGCACCCATGGTGGCACCCATAACCCATCACCCACCACAAAGCATTCTGCAGAAGCCACAACAAATAAAGACTGCTCCATAGCACAGGAACCTACCTCCTTCATTTATACCATGGTCAACTGCATGCTTGGACAGCAAGCTGCTGTTCTCCTCCTTAGAGATGTCTGAAGAGAGACCAAAAAACAACTACAGTCAGTCCTCTGCTTTGCTCAGCTCCAAGGCAGTGGCTATTCCATAAGAGTGAGTTAGTAGCTACAACTTAATGTTTTTCCTACATCATCAGCTAACACCAGAAAGCCAACACCTTTCCCTCAGGACAGCTCCCCACCACAGAACAGGCTTTCACCTCCCTCGGTTACATCATGGTCAACTGCACACTTGGATGTCAGGCTGCTGCTCTGTATGACAGAGAGCTCTGAAAAAGACATCACAGGAGGGAGTTTCAGTGCTCCAGAGTGTATCTCACTGCTTAACTTCACACTGGTATCAGCCATTACTTAAGAGAGGAGTCACCAGCTACAATTCATAAAAGGCACAGACTCACTCAGGTTCCCTCAGGGATGGATTCCAGGAGGTTTCCAACCCAACATCCTCCTCAATGAAAAGTCAACATACAGTTCTAGACAGGTTGCTCAGGAGTTCTTCCAGTCAGATCTTAAAAACCGTCATGGTAGAAACTCCACAATGACTCCATGCAGCCTGTCCTAGTGGTTAGTTATGCTTAGAGGCACTGTTTTCTCTCCTTTGTCAAGGTCACCATAGCAAATGACCTCTGCAGTACTCCACTTGCCACCAGCATCCATGTGGAGTACAACCCATCAGCCACTACCTGTAAGCTTGACAATCTAGCAAGTTTTCTACCCATATAGATAATCCTATTCACTGGTGTGGATCAAGCTTTCTCAAGTAATCCCTGACTGGTGGTAGTTTTTCTTGAGCCCTTTGACAAAGCACTGAGTCTGAGTGACCTTGTTAATGAAGACTGATGCAAGGAACACATCAAGTACCCAAGCTTGTTTTGTCTGATAGCCTTAAATCATGCTCCTCAGTTCAGGAATCGGTCTGTATTTTCCTCCTTCATTCCTTTACAGTTAATGTGGCAGCAGATGCAGCTCTTGTTGCCCTTGTTGTCCTTTGCAAGTCTGAAATATAGCTGAGCCTTGGCTTTCCTGACACCTTCCTTATCTACTCGGGCAGTGTTCCTACATTCCCCCATTGTAGCCTAACCTGCCTCCACATCTAGTGTAAGTCCCTTTTGCACTGGAGCCCTGTCTGGGGCTCCCTGCATAGCCAAGCTGATCTTCTGCTTTGACTGCCTGTTTTCCTGAACATCAGGATGGCCTCTGCTCATGTATGGAGCAAGTCCTCCTTACAGTTGGAGAACAAGATGGTTCTCTTGAGCTCCTTTGCTCTTCAGCACTGTCTCCCATGAGACCTGGCCTGGCATCTTCCTGAATAAGTGGAAGTCCGCTCTTCAAAATCACAGGGCTGACGGTTGCCTTCCTCACTGCTTTCTGCAGCTGCAACTTGGTCACTACAGCCAAAGAAACCATTCAGGACCACATCCCCATCCACTCCTCCCCTCTTAGTGAGCAACAGGCACATCTGCACATCAGCCTTTGCTGGTGCATCTGGTAGGCTGTGTGTGAAGAAGTTGTCCCTAACGCTGCACAGAAATCTTCCTGACCGTTTGAACTGTCATGTAGCCTGTCTGCCAGCTGCTGGAAGAAGACACACAAACACACACAGAATACTGTCTTCCATCGCAGACAACGAAGAACAGCTTGACTTCACTTCACAGAGCAGCAATCTCTCCAAGCTTCCTCTTGGCAAAGCTTCTTCTTTTTCACATCAGCTCTTGCTCCTTACTTACGTGCTTCATGAACATACTGGGGGGACTGGAGCTTCACTTGCAGCCATCTCCCAACAATGTTAACCAGAAGACCAGAAGCCAGCACTTCAGCATGGACAGCCACTTGACCAGTATTTTCATCTCACTCTGACTGGGTTTATTATTTTTCTTTTTCTTTTTTTTTTTTTTTGTTTTAACCCCAAACACGTCTTTCAAGTGCATATGCTTTCCTGGCATTATTTCCAAGGGTGGTAAAAATGCAGGACTGATTCTGCCCTTAACTAGAGACTGAAAGCTGTTTAACTGTATTTCTGAAACCTTTGCAGAGGACAGGTATTCAGCATTCAGGGTGCAATCCCCCCAGTACCTCTATTGAGAAGCATTGCAAAGAAGTCACGCTGAGGCTTCAACTCCAGAAGTCTTGGCCCATTTGCCCACTGGGTCATTAACACCACCTGCTCCATACAACACACACTTACCTTCCTGATTCACACAATTGTTAACCGTCTGCTCGTCTTTCTGGGAACTGTCCTCTTTGTTCAATTCTTTGTCTGAAAAGAGATTAGAGAAGAGCTACAGTACCCTTAGGAGCACATTCCACCACTTCTTCCCCACACCAGCATAGGTCATTGTTCTGTGCTGTCCAGAGCTCTGCAGTACACATCCACTGCAACTGCTGCATACTGCTGTCCTACCAGCAGAAACCCTATTAGAATTGCTTTGTACATGCATCTTGAAGAACATCATAGCCTTGACTACTGTTTCCCATCTGCACAGCAGTGATTTCATGTTACCTGGGTGCTGCAGGGTCTACTGCATAAAGGTGCACTGACTCCCCTTTCTGGTATTCTGGTTTGTTCTTCTGGCGTCCAGTCAGACAACCTTTATCTATGAACCTGATTCTCTGCTGTCTGAGCCATACATTTCCCTCCTTTCTTCCACAAGATAGGCATAAAATAAACCTCCTTCTCCTATGTGCATATCTATGTATGTGGAAATAGTTATGCAAGTGATTAAAAAATCCCACATTTCACCACACCTGTACCATCAGCTACACAACCCCCGTTCCTCCAGATGAGGAAAGCTGTTCTACACCCATTACAATTCATGCAGGAAAAATAAGCAGCAAAACCTAGGGGCTTCTGGGTTTTCTTTCCCTCATTGACATCATTAGTGATTTTTCCCTTAATCAGAAAAAAACTATGCCTTCTCCAACTCTCTTTTTATTAGCCACTTGTGGAAAATGGTGGAAGAGTTAGTTAGTGAGAGAATGAATCATCAGTGTAACAGCCTGGGGAAAAAAGCATACTTGTTTTTCTGACTTGAAGTATAATGTTTGTATTTCACTATCCCTCTGGAGTAAAAAGAACTTCCAGAAAAAAACACAGCTCCCAGAATTTCCTTGAAATTTATGTTAACTGTACTAAGAAAGCAAAACTGGGGCTTTGCTTAGCTGCCTGATGAATGCAGTAAAAACACTTTCCTAGAGCATAAAGACAGCAAAAGATACTGCATCCAGAAATGGTGCTTCTCTAAGGAAAGAAGTCTGCTCTATCTCCCAAAACAGCATTTTGCAAGCTTGTAAACATTTCATCTCTAAATTGGTGTGTTGAGGCTCAGATCTATTTGCCATCAATACTAACAAAGCTTTGAAGCCACTACATTTCATTATCTTAGGTCATTACCTTCAAGGTTTTCTTCCAGCTGAAAGCAAAGATCACCTACCCATGAAAACATGTTATAAAATATCCTTGCACTCTTGCAAGCAATTAAAAGGTAATATTATGCAAAAGGGTGATTTGCTTATTTACTATAAAAAAGGGTTCCCTCATACACACTTGGTTCTTCCCATTGATGGTGAAGTGATTTGCAAACACAGCACAATTCTCATCCTATCAAGAAGGAAGCTGAAACTCTAAGAAGGTATTTGTTCTTTAACAAACACAAGGATCCAGTGTTTTTTTACTTCTCATCTAGTGATCTACCCATCAACATTTATTATTCCTAAGGCAAGAGGTCTTTCTAGGCCAACAGGGGAATGGTAACCTCTACACTGAGACCATGCTAGTATGCTCTAGACGGTGAAAGCCATGTGTGAAATTGATTCCCTCCTTCGTGTTCCCTTGTTTTAGGGCACCATCTCACTATTTACCTGCTTCAGACTTTTCATCTTCATAATTGACAGCTGTAGATACACAGAAATCCTTTCTAGGAATGTGTCTGGAGGTAGCACAATAGCCTGCAAAACACACCAACACAGCCTTGAAGTACAGTTTCATTATAACATTTAGCAGATAACCCTTGAGAACCAGTACGTTATGCTACTTTACTGAAGGACTCACAATTAATTTCAACTTCAGCTTTCCTCCCACAACATCTTGGCATCCCACACCATAACCACCTTTATTGTTATACCCACAGCTTCACAAAACCTTTCTCATAGGAGTTTACTTGAGGTGACAAAGATTTGCTGTAAGAAGCCAAAGGCAGCTGAGAATCCACATCTCCTTTATTTCATCTGTGTGTTGTACTTTGACTTAACCCTTTCTCTTTACAGACCTTAAAGTTGTTGCTTTTTTTTTCCCCTCTATCCTTCTCCTTTCTTTCACTTTCAATTCTATCAGTAGTCTATTTAGACTTCAGTGATCTCTGAAACATGGGTTAGAAACACAGCTTTTGGGAATATAAAATTAAAAGCTGTATATGAGCCAGCAATGTGTGCCTGCAGCCCAGAAAGCCAACTGTATCCTGAGTTGCATCAAAAGAAGCGTGAGGCAACTGGGCCAGCAATGGATATGCTGGAGGGCAGGGCTACCACTTGGAGAGACTTCAATAGCCTGGAGGAATGTGCTAGAAGACACAATGGTCCAAGGCAACCAAAGTTCTGCACCTCCCGAAATCACCCTATGGAGCAGTACACGCTGAGCTCTCCCTGGCTAGGAAGCAGCTCTCCAGAAAAGGCCTGGAAGCACTGGTGGATGACACGTTGAACATTAGTCACAAATGTGGTCTTGCAGCAGAAGCCTACCAGATGTGTTAGCAGAAGCATAGTCAGAGCGTTGACAGAAACGATTCTTGCCCTCTATTCAGCATTTGTGACACCACAAGTAGAATACTGTGTCTATTTTTGGCCTCCCAACTAATGAAAAAACACTGATGTTCTGAAGGCACTCCAGCAAATAACCACCCAGATGTTTAAGGAGCAGGAGTTGCCCAAGGAGGTGCTGAGAAAATTGGCTTTGTTCAGCCTGAAGAAAAAGAAGGCTAAGGGGATGGCTCATTGCAGTCTACAACTAACTTACATAGAAAATAAACTCCTCTCAGAAGTACAGGACAGAAGGATAGGAGCCAACAGCTGCATGCTGCAAAGGGGAAAGACCTAAAAGAAATAAGAAAAAAATATATGCTTCCCCACAAGGATGATTCAGCCCAAGAACACCTGCCAAAAGAGGCTGGGGAACTTCCATCCTTGGAAATATTCAAAATTTCACTGGATAAGGCTTTAAGTAACCTGATTGAGCATTGAAGTTGGTCCTGCTTTGAGCAGCAAGTTGGATGAAACCTCCAGAGACTCATTCCCACCTATTTCATTTTATGATTTCATGCCAGCAGAAACTAAATGGAGAATGATCAAGAAAAATGTAAGGTCCACATGATATATACATGTACATATGCTCTCATCAGAGCCTCCCTACGGAGTATCATCAATTATTCTTTCCCAGTTAGGAGATGCATCCCATTTTGTTCACTCTGCAACCAGCCCCAAGTGGTGACTCACACCTGGACACCAACAGGAATTTTCCATGGAGCACCCTTAGGATGAGGCAATATATTCTTGTTTAGGACCTTCTCAAATACAAAGAGAAGAAATGGTGTGCATCTCTTTTTCGAGCCAGAATACAACCTAACCTATCAACCTAAAAAGGTGGCAGCATGAGATACATACATGGAATAAGCTTTCAGAGTTACAAAACAGATACTCAAATTCAGTGTAGGGGTGGATCAAGATACAAATCTAGAACTCCAAGAGGATGGCAATACAGGCTGACAGGAGGCACAGCAGTCCCTATCTATCACTTGAGCACGTGGAGTTGTAAGATTAAGACTCAGCGTAAGGTATTCAGTGGACTCTGATAAAATCTGGTCCTGACAATGCATCTTATCTTGAGGGCAGCTTTTTTATGCTCTCAAAGTAAGGCAGTGAAAGGAATGGGAGAGGCCATAGATACTTGGTAAGCAGATACACACAGTAAATGAAACATCCATTCTGAAGGAGAAACATGCAAACACAAACTACAGTGTTTTCCAGTACAATAAGCCCAGTGTCTAGGTGCAAGAAAGTTCCGTATATTATTTCCTTCAAATCTACTAGTCTTTGCATAAGATGTACCTGTTTCTACTGCTGTATTTACAATACATCCCACTGTCAGAAACTCATGCATTCTATAGAACCTCTGACCAGGCTATTCCTGAAGCATGTTAAGCTCAATTAGGAAATTCTGTACATACCTCTTCTGTACACGAGTACTAGTAGTACTGCAATAGCAATGAAGAAGAGAACAAAAGCTGCCATAAGACCATCTCTGCTTCTTTCATTGTAGCTGCCTCCTATAAAATAAATAGTGAATGGTTAGTTAAAAAGCAATTGCTATACATTACTTCAGTAGAAATAGAACCCTGAGTATATTTTATAGCTATTTGGTTTTTTTAAAGCAACCTTAAAAAAATTAATACACCAGAGTCAGTTATTAAAATAAAACCCTAAGCCAGCTCCAGAAAAGTTACACAGTAAGACCCTAGGTCAATGAAAGCTCATCACTGCTTCAGAGGTGATGACTATTTCATTTTTTGGCCTATGAGAGGCTGAGTCAGATCTTACCCAAGGGTCTTAGTGACTAAGACTCTTCATGAGTCCAGAAAACAGGGAGGGGTAGGGAGAAGGTGTTTTGTATTTGTTCTTTTTTCTCATTATCCTACTCTGATTTTCGTTGGCAATAAATTACATTTATTTTCCCCAAGTTGAGTCTGTTTTGCCCCTGATGGTAACTGTTGAGTAATCACCCTGTCATTATGTCAACAATACTTCTGTTGTATTTTCTACCCCCTGTTCTGTTGAGGAGAAGAGTGACAGATGAGCTTGACAAGCACCTGGCAGCCAGCCAAGGTCAATCCACCTCATGTCATTTCTAACAAGTCTCTAACACAGAATTCCAGTGGAGGAGGAAGAATTCTATACTGGTCAACCACGAAAATTACGCTTGCACAGAAGTGGGAAATTTTGTCAATTAGGGAGTGCCTTACACACTCTAAAACCAGATAGTTCCAAAAGTATTCTCATCCTGTGTTTTAAAACAAACAAAACAAAAAACTTCAAGCTGCTCAAGCTGACCTGAAGCTCAGCCATGGCTGTCCCGAAGCAATAAGCAACATCAGGGAAACTCCCCTTTCTCCTTTTTGTATGTCTGTGAAAGAGGAAAAGAGGTGTATACTCATTGACTCCCTGTCGTGAGCCAATGCCAGGGGGGGTACTGGCTGTCAGGATGCTTTCCCGACTTCCCCCCACCCCAATTTGGAGGGGCTGTTGAGTAAGACCGAGGGTCATATGTGGCACTCACCTCTCACAGAGGAACTGCCACTGCAGGACCGTATTTTAGAGTAGTAGTTAGAATGCACCCCCACCATGCTCACAAATTGCTACTGAGACCAATGTTTAGTTAACCAGCTTATTAAGGGTTAACACAAACTGTGGGATAAGGTTTAGGGGAAATGTAAAAATGGCAAATGGCTACCAGGGATGTATCAGGGAAGTAATGTGTCCTTTAGGGAGGTAATGCAAAAAGTACTGTGCCCTTAAGGTGTTCTCTCAGAGGAAAGGTTGTGGAACTTGCTGCCTTTTATATCCTGGTGGCCCTCCTGTCCTGTCAGTGTCACTGTCCAGAGCCAATGAGCATCTATGAGCTCGAAGTTAGGGTGGTAACTAGCAGGGGCAATGCATTACTTGTTGCTCATCCTTCCTGCCTTGTCCCTTGTACCACATCTGTTGCTTTGCTTTTGTTTGTCCTTGAGCAGCAGGCCTGTTTTAGTCTGTTAACTGGGAATAATCAGCAGAAGGCCTTTGCTGACTTAAAAGACATTTTCCTTAGACTTATGTGGGGAAGAAGAACTGTTTCTCATACTCCCACACACACTAGATGAGAAATTGTTTTATCTAATGGCTGCCAGATGACTCACTTGAAATGACTGCATAGTTTCATTCCAGTTCATAGAAAGCAATACAAAGAACACATTAATTGTAAGCATGAATTGCACAAGGCTAGAAGGTTCAGGAGAGATTTTCTAAGTGTGTCTTCCTCTTTACCATTACTCATTTCAAGTCACATGTTTCATTTTGTTGGGATCCCCACAAAAAAAATGTCTTTCTGGGGGCATCGAACTGTTGACCTCATCCCTTCCACCAACCTTAAACACACTTTTAGCAGACAAATCACTTTTGATGCTTTCTACTCTTAAATTCAACTTCCTGAGAAATAAGTAGAAACCTTACAAAGTCCATGCTGCTTCCCAAACTAGCCTCTCACTCTGTTGCCTTTACAACCTGTCCCGTTCATTACCTGTTTCTTCTGGAAAACATCGAGTCAAAGATATTTCAGAGCTCTTTTCTGTTTGAGAGAATTTAATGACACATGTAGCTTTCTCAGAACCATCAACATTCTTCTTAGGGATTATAATCTCCTGATTCTGATAAACGTCTCGTGTGGTACTGAAATTCCAAGTATAATCCAGAGGCTGCTGGAAACGTGCTGCACATTTTAACACAAAGTTGTCGCCACTGATGTTGCAACTTATTTCAGGTTCTGAAGGGGGATCTAAAAAGGGAGAAAACATTCTGTATTTACTTTGGTTATAAACAACCTTGAATTTTAGCACAGAATGAGGGCTGGAGCAACAAAAGCAGCATGAGAATGCATAGATAAATACGTGTGTGTAAGGGGTCTGTGTGTGTGTGAGAGAAAGAAATTAAATTCTGAAAGTGGCATTGTTTGTGATTCTCCAGTTTGAGACTCCTCATGGTTCATTGTCATCGGGACTAATATAGACACTTATCAAATATATTTCCCAAAACTACTTAGTGAAGCTGCATAGCTCTGCATTAGATGATGCCACAGATATTCAAGCATGTAAAATATGCTTGCAGGAGCAACTTTATTAGATATTGTCGCGATCTGCAACCTATTATATTTATTTTTTTGAGTGATTTTAACTTATTGGGACCTGCTGAGAGGTCCGCACGCAGCGCTCGCCTCTCACAGAGGAGCAGTCAACTTTGGCACTGACTTTTTGGGTGACACACTTTTCCAGTGCTCACTAATGCTTCTAATAACAGCAGCCAACCCCCAATTAGAATTTACAAACACACGGTTTATTGAGAGGAAAAATAGAACAATTTGGGGCAGGAGGCTCAAAGAGGGTAATCAGAAGAAATAGGATCTATAAAATGTCTTTAAAACACCAAATACCAAGCACTTATATATACCCTAATACTTATATCTAGATACACCTTATCATTTACACACCCAGATTAACTCTTATTATCTAAGAGGGGAAGAGGAAGGAGGGAAATGCCCGACGCCTGTCCCGTATAGGGTCGCGGTTTGTGTGCGGGTAAGAAGCACAAACACCTTAGGGAGATAAACAATACCCAAAATACAATCCCTTACTTTATTCCTGAGATGGTCTAGGTATTTCTGTATTAGGTGCAGATGACTTCTCCTGCAACCCAGTCTTAGAACCCACGGGTGGCGGGAAGAAGTCTCACTGCAGGTGGTCGGCAGCAGGCAGGACCGCAGGCAGGACCGCAGGCAGGCAAGGACTGCAGGCAAGCAAGCAAGTAATGATGGGCACACAAATTAGATGCCACATCTGGAAATCTGTTTAAAGTGCTTAAGCAATTTAACGACAGACCCAAAGAACAGCCCTCCTTTGTTTCTGTTTGCAATTTTTTTATGCAGTTCTTCCACTACTTACCTAACACAAAAAGGTCAAAAGTTAAGTCATAGTTTTCTTCCACAGTATGCAAGTAGTGTAACACATATGTGCCATTGTCACTGCTCTCCAAATTATATATAGTTAAGCATCCATTCTCCTTGTCAAGCAAGCCTCTGTTAAGGAGAGAAGTATAATATGTTGCTTCTCTTTCCCCCTCCCATTCAGCCACTTTGTCCTTGTTTTTTGTCCAAGTAATTTCCACTATTCTTCGGTCTATTTTTACTGGAAAAGAAAAATTTTCTCCCACAATGCCAAACACGTCCTCACAGTGGATGTGTGCTACAGAGGAAAAAGAGAAAAAAGTTACTTTAGCAAAATATACCAAAAAAAATAAACTATCACTTGACTAATGCTGTACATGCTGTCAGATAGATTCAAATTTAGGCCAGAAGCACACCACAATGTAGCAAAGTAAGGCAGGTATCAGTTAAGAATTACGCAAACCCAGCCTGTCTGCACAATCATGTGACAAGTACCACAAAAGAGATCCAGTTTCCACATTATGGTCCAGGGAGAATTATTGTCCTGATCTTCTACATTACCCTATGCACCTCTATCCTGAGTACTTTGCTCACTTGAATTAGGTCTCCTGCAAAAAAAAAAAAAATCTATCTCAGCATCGTATTGCAGAATGTCCAGCCTGAAGCACTGGCTGAGCAAATAAACCACAATTTTCCCAGCATGAATATTCACGGGATTAGTAAAAGCAACTCTCAACACAAAATCACTACTTGGTTCAAAGAACCTGCTCCGAAATCATGAGGATGCTAGGAATTTCCCTTGGAAGCATCACTTCAGCAAGTTTCTTTCACAGCCAATGTATGTGAAATGACTCCAAGCAAGAAATAAGAGCTGTCCAGAAACCTTAATTGCTATTCAGAAACCTGAAATAAAAAAATCCCAAGACTATTGCCATGGCAGACATGGACATGGACATAGACAAAAGCATGTCCTGGTAGAGTCCTATGGAATAAGGTCCTGGAGGGCAGAGGGGCCCAAGAATTCTGGTCATTATACCTTTCTTTGTGTTCTATCCTGTTCAAACATCTCATTTGCTCCTGTTGCTCCAGTATAAGCATCTTTCCACCTATCTCAATTAACGATTTCCAGAAAAGATAGGAACCCAGGAGCTCCAACATTTGGGAAATGTACCAGAGGTGGAAAAGTGGAATATAACAGTTGAAAATTACAAGGCCATTACCAGAGTATGCAGAGATGCAGTTAGGAAAGCAAAAGTTTAGCTTGAGTTGACATTGGCCAAAGTTGTTAAAAACGTCAAGAAAGGGTTCTTCAGATATGTTAACCACAAGCAGAAGAGAGGAATAATACTGGCCTACTATTAAACAGGAGAGGTGGACTAGTCACCAACAATGCTGAAAAGGCAGAGGTCCTCAACACCTTCTTCACCTCTGTCTTTACCAGTGCTCTTGGGTCCCAGGCCATAGGAACAGAAATCCAGGTTGATGCAGATGCTGACTTGCCATCAGTGAAGAGTTGGTGTGTCAACTATTACAGGAGCTTGACCTGCACAAATCAATGGGCCTGGGTGCCATCCATCCTCAGGTGCTGAAAGAGCTGGCTGATGTTGTTGCAAAACTCCTCTCCATAACCTTTAAGAAGTCATGGAGATTGGGAGATGCCCCTGAAGACTGGAGGAAGACTAATGTCACTCCCATCTATAAGAAGGGTCCAAAGGAGGACCCAGGTAATTATAGACCCGTTAGCCTCACTTCAGTCCCTGGGAAAGTCATGGAACAAATCCTCCTGGGGACTCGCACAAGCCAACTGAAGCAGGTGATTGGGAAAAGCCAACACGGATTTACCAGGGACAAACTGTGCTTGGCAAACCTGATTGCCTTCTACGACAAAGTGACCCGCTCGGTTGATGTAGGTTGCGTGCTGGACATTGTCCACCTGGACTTCTCCAAGACATTTGATACAGTCCCCCACAGCCTTCTCCTACAGAAACCAACTCGTTATGGCCTTGACAAGTGGTCTGTGCGGTGGGTGGGGAACTGGCTGACAAACAATACCCACAGGGTGATAGTAAATAGTTCCTCCTCAAACTGGCAACCAGTCACAAATGGGGTCCCACAGAGATTGATATTGGGCCCAATGCTGTTTAATATCTTCCTAAGTGACCAGGACGCTGGGATCAAGCGCACCCTGATTAAGTTTCCAAGATGAGTGGAGAGGATGACACTCCAGAAGGGAGAGCCATTCTTCAGGATGACCTAGACAGGCTGGAGGAGTAGGCTAGCTTCTGAAGTTCAACAGAGAGAAGTGTAAGGCCTTGCCTCTGGCAACACAGAACCCAGGAATGCAGTTCAGACTGGGATCCACCTGGCTGGAGAGCAGTCCTGTGCAAAGCAACCTGGGGGTCTTGGTGGATAACAGGCTCAACATGAGTCAACAGGGTGCTGCTACAGCAGCAAAGAAAGTCAACAGGATGCTGAGCTGTATCAACAAGGGGAGATAAAAGCAGAGATAAAGTAATCATCTCACTCTGCTCGGCACTTGTCAGACCACAACTGGAGTGTGGTTCAGTCTTGGTCCCTGCTCTACAAAAAGGATGCAGACATCTCTGGAGAGGGTCCAGAGATTAAGAGAGGGCTGGAGGACCTGCCATATGAGGAGAGGCTAAGAAAACTGAGAAAATAAGGCTATTCCCCCATATTGGACAGTTTTAATCTCAGCTTGACAGGGTGCTGAATCATCTCATATAGATGATAGTATTACCTAAAAAGGTTAGACCAGATGATCCTTGAGGCCCCTTCCAACCTGGCATTCTATGATTCTATTATTTGTGTTCAGAGATCACAAGAAGGCAGGATGCCGGGTGAGATGAAACACTGTTTCCACCTGGTAAGTCTCTCTAACAAGAGCCTTACATTTCATAAAGACAATTTCTAGGAGGGCATTTTCCTCAGGAAGTCATCTGTCACTACTTAGGAACCTATGGTATTCCTAACATGGAAAAAAACTCCCTGCTCTACCCACTGTGAAATTCTCCCTCTCAGTAACCTCAGCTCACAGACACAACCAAGCAGTAGTGGCTTAGTATCATCAGGCCATGCTGGCTGTTGACAAGAGCAAGGAAATGTGACTCCCTTCTGGGAGGAAAGCAGCCATATACTGGGGTCTAAGAACACAAGTAGGGACAGCCACCATTGCTCAGCCAACCTCTAGTAACTCCCTAAGCCTGGCTGTTGATGCAATTAAAGTCTCCATGTCTTTGCACTCTTTCAGTTAGTCATAAGAGCTAGGCTGGAGTTAAGAGGGCCAGATTGGCCCAGGGTTTTGGACTGTTCTACTTCCCTGCTCCACTGCTCTAGTGAAAATGCAAAGAAACCTCCCACTTGATGCTGTCATACTTTTTTCAAGGAAATGACACATCGTACAGAAATGTTTCATAACATACCCACCATATCTTTGAGCTTCTAAAGAAAGCATGTGTAATCGTAAGTTTTCTAAATTTCCCCAGAACCTTTCCCCCTCTTTTCTACATTATTTCATATGAGGACAGATTTCCTATTTCATAGCAGTTAACTTCTCTGCTGTGAGCAAAGAAAGAGAAGCAACAGCCAAATACTTTATCACACACTCTTTTTGGAAGGTTAGAAATAAGAACTATGTTCTCTGCTTTCTCCCTCTCTCCTTACTGTAACCTGTTATTCCAAGATAAAGATCACACAACATAGATCTGCACTAAGGCCTCCAGTAGCCTCTACAGAAACCATTGGACTACCCACTCCTCTGCCTCTTTCAAACCACTCTAAATTCCTTCTTACATCATGTCTTTGTGCTCTACCCTTCCAAACAAATCACATAAAAGTGTCACCGATAAAGAGAAGCTAACAAAGTCTCTTCTGCAAACCCACCACCTCATCTCATCTACATCATCTTCTGTTTCCACCTCCTCAGCAGCCAGATACATTTCCCTATGCAGCCTTTTCATCCTACACAGGCCTCAGAGCCATGGTCAAGTGTTCACTCATCAGCTGAACCATGACAATAGCATGGGTGCATGGATTCAGCTTACAGCAAACCATGAATCTGAGCCTGCTTTGCAGGACGTTAAACTATTCCAGATTTTCTCATGCTTGACAATGACTCAGGTAATGCACATAACCTGGAATTCCATGCCAACTGGACCATGCCTCTGAATACAGAGCTTGGATTTGTAGCCTATGGAAGACAAGGCACAGCCCTCACAGAGTAACAGGTCACCCATAGAACCTATTCTGCTATACTTTGAGTTTTAATATTCAGCTGAAAAAATCTGACTCTTTTAAGTATGTAAGCAGGCTGAAGGTATCAACATGTTCTGTTTAGACTAAGTAAGTAGAATTTAATATTCTATTTACCAGCAATAATTACTTCATTATTACATTTATCTATCTGATTTGATTTTCTTGGCATTGATGTTAAGGCTTAGTTTTTCCATAGAACTTCTGTAATCTGATTCCCTTTTTATTTTTTATGCTATCATTATAATCTTTTTTGGTCTCAACTACCTATTTGAAACACATATATGTACTTATCAGGTCTATACAAGGGGCAGTTAGGCTCCCATATTACCACTAAGACATTATCGTTCCATCCGTTGAAGCTGGGTGGAAAAGTCCTCACTGATTAGCTCATAGCAAGGAACTGTCTGCCTCAGGAGCTGGGTTTTCAAAATATTGGATTTTTGTACTTTTTTTTAACTTCCCAACTACCCTTTTTTTTTTTTTTTTAATTGTGAATTCCCCAGCTACTATAAGCAGCAGAGAGTTACATTCCTTCCAAGCCCTTGGAACCATCAGTCGCAGAGAACCCTAAAATAAATATTCAGTCCAGAAGGACTATCAAAATATTCACCTGCAGTCCTCCTAATTTCCCCCATAGGCCACTAACACGAGTTGCTTCCCGAACACCACTAAGAAGTCACTGAGACCTATGGTATAAAAGCATAAGCAAAGCTACAGCCAGGAAAGAGACAAGGCAGATGACAGCAAACTGTAGCACATCCTCCGCTGTTGGACGAGAGAATCGGATTTGTGCAGGAATGACTGGAAATCTTAAATGCAACATCAAAAGCCAAGATTTTCACATGCATACTTCAGCAAGTTCACAGAGGTGTGTTGCTACTCACGGACAACATGGGGCTGCCTGCAGCTACAGAGCCCTACACATCAGCCAAGGCAGGACCTAAGGCTGGTTACCCACCAACAAGTGAGGTCCCTCCCCACTACAAAATCCATGCCTTGGTTATATCCTTCAGCACAGGCCTAGCAACAGGCAGGATGCCCCAGTCATTCTGAAACTACACCGCTGACCAAAAGTGTGGGGGTGATATACCCACTCCTCCCTCTCCTTTGTTTTTGTCTGCAATGTTCCTGCAATGAAATAGTCACGCACCGAGTATGGCTGAAAGTTAACTTGATACACACCCCACCCAGAAAAAAAACAAACAAACAAACACAAAAAAAAACAAACCCACATAAGGATTATAATAC